GCATATTATTGTCAAGTTCTATTTCAGACTGTACCAAATTCACAATCACCGGGTTCGTAGTTACCTGATATAAACGTGAGTGTTGTATCTTCATGCGACATCCGTATATAATAGAAGTGGAAAGTGAATTATCGAACTGATCCAAAAAAAATGCTGTTTGTTTCTCTGAAACAGTTATTTGTCAACGTTATTTAGTGTTTGTGGCCATTTGAAAATACCCCAATTCGAAACAACGAAACATTTTTCAAAATCTCAACTGACTTTCGTCATAACCTCGGTACATAATGAGATCAAATGTTAAGAAAAGCTTTGTTGTGAAGTCGCTAAATAGCTTGATAGAAACGATTTTACTCTTCCAAGTCAAAAACCTTTGATTTATTGAGTAGATAAAAAAAATGAAATTTTTGACAATGAAAAGTTTGTTAGAGCGACGAATATTATTGCGTAAATGTTTGTTCAACAGTATTATTCTGTCGATTGGAAGCTATGATGGCAATTGTTTGAACAATAGTTTGATTTGCTCTCGTTTGACTTCCAACGCGATTACCAACACGATGATTAACGCAAAAGATGTTTTTCAGAATCAGTATGAATTCTTCTCTATAACCTCGAGTGCCAAGTATGTATGCGATGAAACTTGTGCTGTTAAAAGCATAGGTGAGGGTGAAGGTGACGGTATAAATCAAAGAAAAGGTGGGTGTCGCTTTAAATGCAACTGGCATTATTGCTGTCAGGTAAGTTATACTCACTGGAAAATTGAGAATAATATAAATACCTACTTGAAGTAGAAGCATACGAGCAAGTTGACGCTCAGTACGACGATGACGCGACACCACAACTGGAACGACACGAACTTGTCTCAAATTGCGCATAGTCAAGTAACCGAATAGGGCCATTAGACATGGTGCGATAATGGCATACAACGTAGCTTGCGTGACCACATATATTTGATTATAGATTACGTCGTCTGGAATTCGACATCCAAGCCCATCACCTGCCCGTGCAGTGGTCAATACAAACGTATTAATGCCGAAAAGTGTAAAAAAGCTAACGACGAAGCCAATCGCCCAACGAGGAACACGAACACTGCTAAATCTTCGTAGATGAACACTTGTTGAGCTAGCAAAATATCGCTCCATCGAAGCGAGCACGATACTGTAAGGAGAAATGTACGCAGATACATGAAAAACATACGTCATTACTTTACAGATGATCACTGAAATGTTACTTGGATCAAGTTGATAACCAGTCACCAGTAGTTGATAGGTAAGTACAACGCTCGAGTAGAACACATTGTTGATAGCAGCAGCAAGTAAATAGCGAGAACAAGCATGAGGATAAAATGCAGGTCGTGCAAGTACTGCAATGTTGAGGGAGTTGCCTATGATACCCACGATGATAAGCACGGGAAGAGTAATTCGGGTTAGCTGAGCACCGACTAAGATCAGTGAATCGGTCATGTTCTATGCCGTTGTATTTGAGCTGAAATGAACAAGACTTTCTTTCGCAGTTCTTTTCATTAATATTATCGAATGAAACGATGATTAAACATACATGAACGATTCGCTTAGAGAAAAAGGGTTGCTTCCCTGTAAGCCGATTACATCCTGTCAACATGTCACGACGAGCGATATGGCTAATGGTTAGATGTTGATGTGCAGATATATTGATCATCAGCTTAATTACATAAATCTTAATACGTTGTGTCACCAGTGGGAGAAAGATATTCCATGATGAGAAAATATTTTGGATCACCAAGGTTAGTTATTCCAAATGTTAGCAGGTGCCTAGTAAAAGTCTTCTTCTTTGGAAAAATCGACTAGCAAGGAATAGTAGACTACATACACTTAGAAGAGAGTCACCAATGGACAAGAGTTCTTATTGAAGGAACTATCAAACAAGTAACGCTCGTCGCTTCGACTCGCTGAACCATTGACTGAATAATCAAGTGCTTGTATATTGAATTCGATCTTGCAGAACCAATCAATGGCACTGTTAGATGTATACCTGTATATTTTCTACTTCTATTTTGGTGGTGATCTATAAGAACCTGAACAATTAGAAGTGCAGTAGTGCTTTGAAATGGAACCTCAATCTTTATCAACTCCTTTACAGAACAGAAATCGTTTTTCTGTAGATGGTGACGCAAATTTGTACTCTAGCATCATGGCAGCTTGAGAAATATCTTTGTTTTTTGGAAAGTAATTAAAAGTTAGCTCTGCTTTTCCGTTAAAAATTGTAAAGAAAATCAAATTATCTGTATTCAGATCTAATTTAACTTGTAAATTTCTCTAGCGAAATGAACAGTACGCTATTATGCAACGGTGATATGATGCGATACGTTGGCTTGGATTTGTACTATGTGTTTGTACAATAACTAAGAACATAAAGAGTGTTTCATAAGTTTCGACCCCATTTTTGTTTTCCTTTTTATTTTTCCTGTATTTAGAGATGAACAGATTTCGTCTTTATGATTTTGAAGAGCAACATCTAATCTATCATTCAACATGAATAGCATTCAATTTGAATCAGAGCGCGAAAAATATGAAAAAAGTTAGATTCGGTTCGATTCGATTCGGTTTATATTTCATGAAAAAAAGTTATATTATTTATTTTAAATTCCTATAACTTTTTCAACAATATTCTCTCCTCGTGATCATAGCTGATTCTCACTCGTCTCTATAAAAATATAATTTTGATGATCTTCAAATATATCACAAATAATTATTTATTTTTACAAGAAAAATGGATACGTATAGTAAAGTATAGGGGTCAAACACACTAGAAAAAGTGACTTAACTTAAGGTTGATTTAAGTAACGTGATTGGTTAATTCAATCTTAAGTTAAGTCACTTTTCTCTAGTGTTCGACCCCATATTTAGATAAGTCAAAAAAAATTTTTAAGAAAATTTGTTCTCGATCGAAGGGAGGAAAATAATATCATTGACTGTTGATGGATCCAGGCTACTTCGTCGTTGAGTACCAATTTGGCCTGTCACGCTAAATTGTGACATTTATGTAGAATTTAATCACTAACTTTAGACGGCCGTTTAGACTGAGAGAGAAAAAGAAATGAATAAGATAATACTTTCTTTATTACGGCTATCTTATATATCCACTCATATGCACTCATCCATAACGATAAATAAGAAAAAAAAGAGGTCGTTGTTAACCGAATGAGTGAGAAAAAATTTGACTAGATTCGATTCGACCAGCATATTGGTCAATTCGATTCGATTCGGGTATGATGAAATTCAATTCGTAATCGATTCGGTTTCGAGCTCTGATTTGAATGAGTTATATGGAAATGGTGCATTCATCAATAAATTGAAAAAAATCTCATAAAATTTGATTTTTACATTTTCCATACAAATAATTACTCTAACAATGTTTTGTAAATATCTTTCTCAGTTATTGATGTTATAACGTGAATTTGTTTTTTCAAAAGATAGCCCGTGAAATTCTCTACAAAATCCAGTAAGAAACAACTTTTCAAAATAATAATATAGAAGGGTCTGATATCCCCTTTAGTCAAAAAAGGAGAAATAATTATTTGTGAAAAAAGAGTGCGCGCAGCAGCGGATCTATTCGGAGTTCAGTAATGTTGGTCAGATATGATTTTTCAATTATGCCTTTGAAAAGTTGTTTCTTACTGGATTTTGTAGAGAATTTCACGGGCTATCTTTTGAAAAACAAATTCACGTTAAAACATCAATAACTGAGAAAGATATTTACAAAACATTGTTAGAGTAATTATTTGTATGGAAAATGTAAAAATCAAATTTTATGAGATTTTTTTTCAATTTTTTTATGAATGCACCATTTCCATATAACTCATTCAAATTGAATGCTATTCATGTTGAATGATAGATTAGATGTTGCTCTTCAAAATCATAAAGACGAAATCTGTTCATCTCTAAATACAGGAAAAATAAAAAGGAAAATAAAAATGGGGCCGAAACTTATGAAACACCCTTTATATATATTGAGAGTTTCTTTTAATGACAGCATAAATATAATTCGTTTATTAGCAATTGTTAGAGGGATGTCGCTAACATACGAAATAGCTTCATCCTGTCCTCTTCGATATCATATATCCTCTATACCTTTCTGTCTCTGTCTATTCTCTATCTTCTTTTTCCTTTTTTCGTCTGATATATATATATACTTGTTACGCTTCTATTGTTTATTCATTCCTTATGATTATAAAATAAAACTAAAGTGAAACATAATCACTAACATGGCGACCCTGGCCAACAACATTTTGCACTTAAACGTTTGCACTTAAAAAGCAATTACAACAATCCGAAACAAAATATTTTCATTATTAATTATATGGAATAGAGCTTCTATCATAGAAACTCGAATTACTACAATTACTAAAGCCTCTAAAGAAAAAAGAGACTTGAATTTCCATTAAGAGCCTCCCATAAAGAGACTCGTGTGATTTTTTTCAAATTGGGTCATATTAATTGTATCACAATTTTATATTCAATCGATAGGTAAATAAATCTCTTCCCTAAGTAATGAGATTGAACCAACAATAACATAAAGAATACGTTGGAGTAAACCGTATGAAAAATTTCAAATACACAAAATAATCATCTTTCTTTTTTTTTCCAAAACAAAAAAAAAACAAAAAAAAACGGGTTCATAACATAATAAATAAACAAATTAGCCTCCCAGTAATTCAAACAAATTAAAGTCAGAAATTCTAAAGAGAGAAAAAGAGAATTTCGTTTTTTTTTCTCAATTAATTATTCATTCATTTATTTATTATCTATAAATTGATTCATTTTATTTAATTATTGAATTGATTACTGTTATATTCATTTACTTTTGCACGCAATAATTTCATAACGGCTTCCGGAACTAGATATCAAGTTAAGAAAAATAATAGTAAATTATTTCCATATACCATTATTACATATTCAAAACCTCGTACATCTTCACATACTAATTCAATTGAAACTGGATCATTAGAATCTGATATAGTTGAAATGGCTGATCAAACATTATTAGCAAAAGCTCGTAAAGCACGATTTGATGATTTACCAAATTTTTCTGGACATCCTTCTGAGGATGTCGAACGGTTTTTGAAAAGCATTAAGAATATAACCAAGGCAACCGATGAATCAGATAATCATGAAATTTTAGAAATTGTTCGTGGTAAATTAATTCAATCAGCAGGAACATGGTTCGATAATAATGAACCTAATTTCAAAAAATGGTCAGATTTCGAAGCTGCATTTCGAAATCGATATTTTTCTACAACATCAACTCACAAGAAATTTGATACATTAAAACAACGTAAACAATTACCGGATGAACCGATTACGTCTTATTTCGATGACATTATTAATTTATGCTAGGAAATTGATCCAAATATGTCAGAAAAAATTATAATTCAACATTTAATGAGTGGAATTAATCCCGATTTTAGGAAGGAATTATCAAGACGTGAATCATCTATCAATACATTAAATGAATTTTTAAAATATGCAAAAATTGAACAAGATTTACATGATACATTTGGTAGGCTATCATTCGATTCACAACAACGTCATTTTAATTATAATCACCCATCAATTCCATTATTAACTGCTACAGTTAATCAACCAAAACAATATTATAATAAAATGAAGCACAACAATTATGTCTCACATTCAACACAATCACAGAGCTCCGTTTCTCAGCGAAACTCGATTCCAACACTTGGAAATCGAACATCCATGGCACCTGATAGAAAACAAATTCGAAATTATCCACCACAATCAATATCAAAAAAGAAACCAATCAATAGTCGACCAACATCACAACATCAATTCAACAACTGTAAAGTTTGTGGTCGCAAGAATCATCGAACAATTGATTGTTACTATAAATGTACAACTGGATGTTTTAATTGTGGTCAAAATCATAATGTCCGTGATTGTACATTACGACCAAATTTTCAATAGCTGGGTCACATGATGGCGGTGTTCCCAGTAAATTCATAAAGCCATCAACAATAACATAATTTCCCGTTTATATTAAGATTCGTGTTAATGATCAACCAACTGAAGCAATTGTTGATACTGGTTCCGCCATCTCAATTATTCATTCAAATTTTCTCAAAACCATTCATCACCATAATTTTTTATCTCAAACTCATTTATGTCAAACTGCAAATTCAACACCTCTTAATATTATTGGTCAAATAAAATTAGAAATACAAATTAAATCTATCAAAACTTATGTTACTGCTCATGTTGCTACAAATTTAATTACTTCAATTCTTTTAGGCAATGATTGGATAAATTCGAATCATGTTCACCTTTATGGTGACCAGAAAAAATTAACCATTCCTAATCAATATGGCCAATTAATTTCAATCCCGTATGTGGAGCCAACTTGCATTAATTATCCAGCATTATTAGTCCATGAAATTACTCTTCCTCCATATTCACAAAAATTAGTTGATATTACATGTCAAGTTACTAAAGCTAATAATCTTATATTTGAACCCTATGAACGTCACATATCAAAATTTATCTTCGTACCACATACATTACTAAATATCAATAAATATCAAGCCAAAATATTATTCATAAATGCACAAAATCGACAACAAACATTATCAAAAAATACACGAATCGGAACCATCTCCCGTGATGCAACATGTACTATATATGCAA